TTATAAATTATAATATTGGTACAAATAGATTTATTTTGAAAATCATTATTATTTAATTTTAGTTAAAGTTTAAAATTTACATAGTTCGGCCCGAACGGCCTTTGAAAGCCGGCGGCCCAATAGGACTATTCCCACTTATCCCACCTGGCCAGTCCGCCTCTGAGTACTGTTGATTCACGAAAATTCATAATTTTTTATTTGTATATTTTTGTCTTTGCAGGTTACAGAATTTAAAACGTTTTTATAATTTTATATAATTATAGATCCGTATTTTAGATTCGATCTAAACATTACAAATGGTATCTGTGTTAAGAATCTATGCAGTTTACATTTAACAGGGTTTAAGTAAATGTAAATCCCCGAGCATTTAATTTGTCTCGGCCAGTCTCGGGCAATGCCTTCTATTATCTTCCAATAAATAGTAATAAGTACATGTAATATATTATATAGGTACATATTTTATTGTTTGGTTTGATTGTGTTCATCAATATTGTACTCAGCTGTTTTTAGGTAAATTGYCACTAATGTTTGATGCGATAGAATACGTTATGGAAGCTTCAGATCTACAACAAATATAAGATGTGCGAGTGAAATTTGTTTTGAGTATTGAATATACATTAATATATCATAATTATATTATACAGGCATGCACAGGTTATATTTTACTAACCTTGAAACTAAAGCATTTGAGTCCTTAAAAATTTCAATATGAATCAATGAAAAAAATGCCAAATAACAAAAATATAGGTATAATTTTTATATTATGTGTATAAAAAATATACCTAGATATTATATTATTTTGCAATAAATAATCTTACACTGTGTTATGGTAGCTACAAATCTATACTGCATAATATATGAGTATATAAATACTATATTACTATATATTATATTATATATGTATATATATATATATTTTTTTTTTTAATATACCAATACTATATTATAATATCTAAGTACCCATATTAGTAACACGCTAACATTGATATTAGCAACAACATTATTATTATATTTAATATTTATTTATTTAATAATTYGACTTTGGACAATYATACAATAAGCATAAAAATTGACGTTTATGAACTTGACAAATTAAAATTAACAGAGATATATAATTATTAAAAACTATGGATCTATGGGTAAGTTGCCGATCGAGRAAAACTAAGTACCTATGAGTTGCTCTACGTCGATTCTGATCAAAGATAAATAAATAACAGAAAAATTGATCAWAATATAATATTTTATATCATATCGGAATTACAGAAATAATCATATACTTAAAAAAACGTGTCCATTTACTAGTAATAATATTTAATTTGTACTTATAGGTATGTACGGAATCTGATGAAAAATGTATCGTTTCTATTTTTACAAAAATACGTTTCCTATTGTACCTACATATTAATAATCGAATCATATACCTACGAGTATGAGAGTAGATAACTGAGGTACCAATAWACTTATTATATACTTAAGCTTATCATTGTTTAAATCAGGGGTGGCCAACTTTTTTCATATTGTGTCAAATAATGTTTACAAAATTGAGAATGTGCCTTAAAAAATATTTATTTATTTACAATTTACAATGTTAGTTAGTTAGTACAATGTAAGCTTTAGTTTTTTTTCCTAGATAATATTTTTATTACAGTTCAAATGCAATGTTTTTTTTTAATGATTAGGTATGTTGAATTTGTTTCATGGATATTATCTCTTCATACTTTGGTTTAAGTTTAGTTGAAAATAGAAGCATTACATTTTTCAAATGAGAATTTGTTAATATGGTTCTATACTTATTTTTAATGAAAAACTTTTCTCACATATATATACGAGTATGTAAAGCCAAATCTGCAAACCAATTTCACCGCTACATTATGTAATTCTGGAAGATTTTCTTCGGGTAGGCATTTCCAAAATTTTATAATCTCAGATGACTCTTTATATTTGYATTTTAAAACTGTTGAACTTTGAAGTTCAGTAATTTCCAATTGCATATTGGGGTTATATTTTTGGAGATCATGTGTCACTATGATAAATGGATTAATAAATATGTTATTTAAATCTTCTTCTTCTTGAAATTTATCATATAGTGATGAAATATGATTTTTTTAAATCGTCAATGGAATATCTGTCGGTAGATAAATAGATTTTAATTGTACAAAGTGATCTAAATTTCCCATTCCTAAATTACTTTCGAAAAGACGAAGTCGAGAAATGAAAGAATTTATAGAACCTACAAGGGCTGGAAATAAATTTCCTTCACCTTGGAGTCATTTATTAAGAATATTTAAATGTCCGAGAATATCAGTTAAAAATGCAAGGTTAATTAACCAGTTTTTATCTCTCAGTAGTTCACATTTATCAGGAAATTCATTATTTTTTTCTAAAAATTCAATAATTTCGTCTGTTAGATTCCAAATTCTTTCTAATGCTTTTCCTCTTGTAAGCCATCTTACTTCACAAAATAATAATAGTTCACCAGACTCGTTAATGTTGTCTTCAAATAGAGTTCTGAATAATTGATGATTTAAAGGCCGAGTTTTTTTTTTGTTTATACATCGAGATACTGGTTTTAATACATGATCAAATTTTAAATTTTGGCGCAGAAGACTTCTAGGAGTATGATACAGTAATATTTATTTAAATTTATATTCCAAAACTCCTCCAATAGTGTTACACAACCAATATTTTTACCCATATTTTTACATGGAGCACCGTCTGTGCATACACTTTYAAGTTTTGACCAGATTAAATCGTCACTTTTTAACAACAATGTTTCAACACAACATTTTAGTTTATTAAATATATCTGTACCTTTTGTCGATGTTTCGATTACTTAAAGTCCTAAAAGTTCTTCCGTCACTTCAAACTTAAAATTCGAATAAATATACTTAATTGCGGATTGTCCGTAATATCACAGCTTTCATCAAGCGCAAGAAAAAAATATTTAGAATTAGTAGTAGGTACTACACGAAATTTGTTTTGAAATATCTAAGGAAATTTCGTCAATTCTTCTAATAATTGTATTACGTGATAAAGAAATTTCATTTACGTTCGTAGAAATTGTTGAATCATTTGCATTTTTTGCAAAATATCGAAACTTTTTTTAATGATTTCGCTATCAGAATAAGGTTTTCCACACTTGGCTAGCAGAAATTTGATTTCATAAGACATTAACACCATGTCGTTTTTTTCATTTGATTGTTTAGTAAAAATTTATKGCTGAGTTAAAAATGAATTAGTCTTCTTTTTAATATATTCTGTCCTCTTTACAGGACCCTCAGGGTATTTTTCAATAATATCATTGTAATTATTATAGTGCCGTTGAACATTGAACTTTTTTGGAACTGCAATTACAGAGTTACATACTAAACATGTCGGTCTAGATTTTTTCCCTTCTATTCATAAAAAATTTTCTATCCATTCTGTACTAAAATTTCGCGAAGAAATATCATCATTATAACTTCGTTTTACGCTTAAACTTACGCCTGTTTTATTAGATGCCATTTCACGAACACACACAACGACACAAACTACTCGTTAAAGCACGGGCACACTAATGCAACTAACTTTATTGTAGTAATCAAGTTCACACGTATCGTAATAATTCTCGTATCGGAATAATAAACAGAAAATTCCACTGSGATAATATAATCTAATTTAATAATATTTATTGTTAAAAATTATATATTATTTTATATGACTCTAGTGTGCCATTCAATAACAACAAATGTACCACAAATGACACGTGTGCTGCAGTTTGGCCATCCCTGGTTTAAATGTATAATGAATGCTTAATTAGATGATTACGTTTAAACTGSAGTTAAACTATAAAACACCAAACTAAGTGTAGGTTTGAATGTTGAATGTCCGTGATTATATTATAATAATTATAGGCACGCATCAGTTACAATAAAATAATAAATTATGGTCTATTGAATTAAAATACTATTTTGTTTGTCAATAAAAATATTGTTCAAAAATAAAAATCAGGTTATGTATTAAATAGATAGTTATTAATTTATTTCATAATAAATGGTCATCCAATTAAAATTTGTTTAGGTAATAAACGATTTGATATTTAGATATATTGCAACTTTTAATAATTATACCTACTA